AGCTCCGAGCTATAGAACCCCCAACGGAGCTGGGGGCCTAGCTGTCTGTTAGTTGGGCAATCTGGGATATCGTAAAAGTGTAAACCAAGTCCCTCACTGAACTTCAAAAGACCTTCCAAGGGGTCATAAAAACAGACTTACTTTTAAAAACTCACTTTTTCATATAAGTTGATATCTTCACGTAGGACATAATTACCTAAACATGGAGCCCATATTCGGAAGGTTCAATTTGAGACCATTCTTCTGGTATGTTGCACCCCTTATCTGACACATATAAGAGAGCAGAAAATTGTATCTCCTGAACCCTTCAAGTGTATATGACATGTTTTATCTCTAACCATTCCGCAGATGCTGCTGAGTATTAATATACTAGTGCCCAGGCTGCCAAATTCCCAGAGAATAAGTTATGGGCCATAATATAAGCTACTAGGGATTTTTGTTCTAGCTTGGGTCTCCGCCCCAGCACCCCTCCCCAAATGAGGCAATTGGTTCTCTGTTGTAAGGAAACACCCTGCTGAGATCCTAGAAAAAGGCTGTTATGCTTGGAGCTGTGTGTGTGAGTGAGAGTTGAAGAGTCTCCTGTTTTTAACATCAAAACTGACAGTAGAGACAAGAAAACCTTTTGACTTATGAAACTTGAAGCTGCTTATACCAAGGCTGGCTGGCAAGTACTTTAATCCTCTAAATTCCTTTCTGTTATCTCTTTGCTGTGCTGTTGTTTTCTGTATATTTATATATATATATATATAAATTGGCTACATCATTTTCTGTAAATATTTTTATTGCACCCTTTTGACCTTTTAGTAATAAATCTTACTTTCTGTGAAGTGTTGAACTGTTTCTAAAGCTCTTTAATGCAAATTACGAATTCCTGCCGCTGAAGAGCGCTACCGCGTGTGTTTAACCCCCTGTATAACCTGCCTGCGGTGACAGTGGTATACAGACGATTATTTCAACCATCATAGTGTTATTGCTGATATTGCCGAGTTTCCTCTTTCTCAATACAAAAATGAGGTGGTGGCAGTGTGAAGGGTTAATTGCGGAATTAACCTGACCGAGTAACAATCGCGCTCAGGCTGCCGGTACATTGATTGTGGTCCATTAGCTGGAAAATCGTTGTGTAGAGTGTAGCTAGGCGTGGCATTGTTATGCACGTGACATTGTGGTTTTAGGCTGGCTAGTCCTTCGGTCACGAGTTAGGTGAGAAGGGCAGGTTTCTGATGCCGTAATCGTCACAAGGGGTGTGCAGGATGCCCAAGGAAACTGATGAACTGAGGACATCTTCACCACAACCAAGTCTTTGTTGGTGAGCTAGTCCGCATCTGCTTGATGTACCACCCCAGACCCTAGATGAACTCATCTTCACCCAGCAATCTGAAGGTATCCCTGAACAGGGGATCTGGTGTCTGTTACTTTAAAAGTGGTCAGTCCCAAATAGGCAGTGAATCTGGTTTCCCACCAGAGTGCTCCTTCCCCTATCCACCCAGGGCGTGCAGGGGCACTCACTCCTCAGATTCTCTCCTGTATTGCTGGTAGGTTGGTGGCTGCTTCCAGGCCTTTTAGCTGGGCTGCTCCTTCCCTGCCATACAGGTGGTCCTCACTCTGGGGGGCCAGTGAAACTCTGAGATTCTCCCTTTCTAGCTCCAGTCCTGCAGATATCCCTATCCCACTGGGCCTCCTCGCAGCCCCCTGACTTCAGCCTCACATATTCCTCACTGTTTTCCACCTAAACTCTTCTGCAGCTGAACAGGCTCCAACACTTAAGGGTGTCCCAGCCCCTTTCTAAACTCCCGTTGGGGAATGACTAAGATCTAAGATCCCTCAGAGTGCAAACCAGCCACTCCTCAAATCCACCCACTGCCTCTAGGGCCTTCTTCCAAAGCCCTAGAGCAGGGGCAAATTCCAGAGGGGCTGGCCTGCAGAGCCTCTCAGCTTATGATCACAATTTGACCTTCTGGCTATTACACTTAGGCTACTACTCAACCTGCCTCACTGACAATCAGGACTCTAGCTCCCCTTAGCTAGACTAGGAGCGTGCTACATGTGCAGTATGTGTAGGAGAGGATTGGGAAAGGTATTAGAGCAGGCTTGTAGGTAAAGAAAAGGGTCTGGAATTATATAGAGGAGTGCAGAGGATATGACAATGGCAAGTAATATGTACAGAAAGTACATATTTATTTTTTGCTGACATGCACTGTTTTGGAGACATTAGGGCTCCTAAAGACTTCTGTTGCCTCTTATTGACAATCTGATATAGATCACGGACAGGGAGTCCCTGATCTGTATATGAGCTGACTGCACTAGCAGCCAGAAATTGAGAACATGCAAAATGCTCAGCGCTGAGCACTTTCAAGTTGCAGAAGAGATCAGGGAAGTACAGCATCCTAATTTTACGTACCTGGTTGTAGAGCTTGACATGAAGAGGGAGGCCTCTCTTACAGCTCTGGCTCGGGGACCACTGGGAGTGAGACAGTGGCCATGACAGCATGGTGCAGTATGAGTGTCTGTAATAAGTCCAGTAGGCTGCTCAAGTAAGTAGCCAATGCTTCACCAGGGATGAGCTAGAATACAGAGGCAGCTGACAGCGGACAGATGCAGCATGCCTAGAGCTAGCAGGTAGAAGACTGGCTTGACTGACTGGTGACAGGTTGCTGATGCTAAGCAGGCTGACAGGAACCAGGCAAGAAATGTACTGGTCAGAAAGTGCTGTGGCAGACAGGATGAGCAAGATGCAGGTTCAGGCATGCCGGGTTGGTAACAGTCAGTCAGGTCAGGTATAAACAGCAGGCAGAAGAGTTGTCAGGGCACAGGCCAAGGTCAGCAATGGTGAGGCAGAAAACAAGAGAAGATTCCAAGCCAAGGTCGGGGCAGGTAGCATTCAAGTGTGGTCCGAAGCAAGCGGGGTCAAGAACAGAAGTTAGAAACAGGCAACGGAATACATGGAATGCTGTAGATCAGTGCAGCAGTCCTGTTTAAATAGCCCATTTAGCACCAGTATTAGTCACAGGTGCGCACATCTGCCTGGACACTTGCTGGCCCATGCACATGTATACACCTAGGGACATTTTCTGCATTATTGGCAAACCTTCCCTGACACTTTAACAACTCTCACTGTAGGATGGCTGACAAAATGTTAACTCACCCCTGCATATAACACTAGCAGAGTAGCTCTCTAGTGTAATGTGCAGGCTGAGCTGTTTCTGTAACAGTCATCCTGCAGAGGTGGAAGCCTCTGTCCTAGCAGATTGTGGAGTGGGCAGAGTGATGGGCTTTCAGGGAGCAGGCTTCACTTCTACTGCTGAGAACAGAACACTGTTGTGTGGAACTAAGGGGACTGGCCTTTCAGATGCTGGGAAGCTCAACACAGCCTGCAAGAGTGAAACCTGCTGATGCTGGTCACCTGAAGTATGGAGCTCCAGGGACACAGCTGCAGATCTCCTGGCAGCAGTAGAGAGCTGCTATGAGGTGTTCATACTTGCGGGACAGTGCTGGAGGGGCAAGGGAACATGTCACCTTGAAATGAGAAAGTGGAAGGGGGAGGAACCTTCACCATTTGTGGGATAGGACTGAGAAAGAGGGAGTTGAAGCATGGACATCTCAGAACAGGGATGGCTTCAGACAATACTGGAGGATACATGTAGGTGTCAGGAATCAAGGAATGACCAGAAAGGTGTGGACTGACACAGGGAAACGTAGGTTTCAGGTATAGTATAATAATACAGGTTATTATTAGCCACCCAGATATATATATATATATAAACGCACAGTGAGCAAACCAACCTTTCACTAATCTTAGTAGGTGCAGGAACACAGGCGCAGTCAGGGCTGGAGAGGTGGAACGGTCAGGCCGGCCGTAGGGTTCTGTAATGACCGTTTGGTGGTACCTCTAGTGGTCCAGAGGACAGGATTCCCCAGGGCGCGGAGTCTAAGTCCCAGCCTGCTTATTCACCAGGGCCCCTGATGGTGGGGATGGACTTGGAGCAGACAGGAACCAGGTCGCGGCCCCTGAGTACACCTGCTAGTGGTAGAGGGATCCGCCAGAGGTATGTGCAGGTACGGCTGGATCCGTGCAGGATGGATGGATGGCAGAGTAGTTAGCGTGGTCAGACGGGCCAAGTCAGCAACGTGCGGGCAGCAAGGTACCAAAGGAGCAGGCAGAGAATAGTCAAGGTCACAAGCCGGGTTCAGTAACTCACGGACAGCGCGGTACAGGGGATCAGACAGAAGGATGGTCAGGCAAGCCAGGGGTTCAACAGGAGATGGTCAGCAGAGGTCAGAATCAAGCCGGATCAGCAACGAAGCAGGAACACAGGATACCAGGTACAGAGGCTCATGGGAAAACATACACCAAGGCCCAGAGCACAGGCCTGGTCATGGCTTAAATACACCTTTCTGCAATCAGCCCCAGGCTTGGCTGATTGTGAGCTTCTGGCTGCTAAGAGCACCCGCTGGTCAGCTCTGGTACTGCAGCCCACACGGCAGGTGAGTCCCACCACCAGTGCTGAGAGCACCCGCTGGTCAGCTCTGGTACTGCAGCCCACACGGCAGGTGAGTCCCACCACCAGTGGTGAGCCCATTCCTGACAGTAGGTTTTCGAGTGTGGAGGTGGAAAATCTGGTGGTGAAGGTGAAAAGTTAATATAATGTTTTTAAACACTGGAAAAAACGTTTTGTGGAGTTTTAAACTGGCGATAGACTAGTAAAGTTTCGTCAAAATTTTTTTTGTTTTAAGAATGTTCATTCCACTTTCTAATCGTTATTATAGTCAAAGTCACAGTGACAAGTAAATTCAAAGGCGTAAGATGGAATTTTTTTTCTCAAACGCATGAATCTCTAACCGTAAATGAGGTTTTCATCTGGGAAAGTCCATTCACTCCAAAATTGAATTGAAAATTCGATTCGGCTGATTCGGCGAATTCGCGGAATAAATTCGATTCGAGTCGAATATATTCGCTGCGAATTTAACTTATAAAAAGGGTGTTTCTAGGCTTCAGAGAGCCTTTATATTAGTGCAGAACACTGTACCTTTAATTTAAATGCCCTTGGAGTCTGCTGGGGAAGAGAAATAATACTGTCAGTCAGTATGACATGCAGATGAGTGCCGTCGATCTTAGAATCACCGCACACTTCACTCATTTGGGCAGTCACGGGGCCAAAACCAGAGTGTGGAGCCACAGTGTGGCGGTGGAGGCAGCAGCAATGGGAGGCCATACAGCACCCTATGAAAAAATGGAACCCACCAGCAGTGTGAGGAGACCTGAAAGTGGCACATGGCAGAGTGTGGCGATGGAGACAGCAGCAATGGGAGGCTGTACAGGGGACCCATGACACACTCTGGACCTGGCAGCAGCATGAGGAGGCGGTACAGGGGCCCATGACAGATTACGGGCCTGGCAGCAGCATGAGGAGTCGGTACGGGGGCCCATGGCAGATTACGGGCCTGGCAGCAGCAATGGGAGGCCATACAGCACCCTATGACAAAATGAAACCCACCAGCAGTGTGAGGAGACCTGAAAGTGGCACATGGCAGAGTGTGGCGATGGAGACAGCAGCAATGGGAGGCCGTACAGGGACCCATGACACACTCTGGACCTGGCAGCAGCATGAGGAGGCGGTACAGGAGCCCATGACAGATTACGGGCCTGGCAGCAGCATGAGGAGTCGGTACGGGGGCCCATGGCAGATTACGGGCCTGGCAGCAGCAATGGGAGGCCCGTAATCTGCCAGCACCCTATGACAAAATGGAACCCACCAGCAGTGTGAGGAGACCTGAAAGTGGCACATGGCAGAGTGTGGCGATGGAGACAGCAGCAATGGGAGGCCGTAAAGGGACCCATGACACACTCTGGACCTGGCAGCAGCATGAGGAGTCGGTACAGGGGCCCATGACAGATTACGGGCCTGGCAGCAGCATGAGGAGTCGGTACGGGGGCCCATGGCAGATTACGGGCCTAGCAGCAGCAATGGGAGGCCGTACAGGGACACATGACACACTCTGGACCTGGCAGCAGCATGAGGAGGCGGTACAGGGGCCCATGACAGATTACGGGCCTGGCAGCAGCATGAGGAGTCGGTACGGGGGCCCATGGCAGATTCGGGCCTGGCAGCAGCAATGGGAGGCCCGTAATCTGCCAGCACCCTATGACAAAATGGAACCCACCAGCAGTGTGAGGAGACCTGAAAGTGGCACATGGCAGAGTGTGGCGATGGAGACAGCAGCAATGGGAGGCCGTACAGGGACCCATGACACACTCTGGACCTGGCAGCAGCATGAGGAGTCGGTACAGGGGCCCATGACAGATTACGGGCCTGGCAGCAGCATGAGGAGTCGGTACGGGGGCCCATGGCAGATTACGGGCCTGGCAGAAGCAATGGGAGGCCCGTAATCTGCCAGCACCCTATGACAAAATGGAACCCACCAGCAGTGTGAGGAGACCTGAAAGTGGCACATGGCAGAGTGTGGGTGATGGAGACAGCAGCAATGGGAGGCCGTACAGGGACCCATGACACACTCTGGACCTGGCAGCAGCATGAGGAGGCGGTACAGGGGCCCATGACAGATTACGGGCCTGGCAGCAGCATGAGGAGTCGGTACGGGGGCCCATGGCAGATTACGGGCCTGGCAGCAGCAATGGGAGGCCCGTAATCTGCCAGCACCCTATGACAAAATGGAAACCCACCAGCAGTGTGAGGAGACCTGAAAGTGGCACATGGCACAGTGTGGCGATGGAGACAGCAGCAATGGGAGGCCGTACAGGGACCCATGACACACTCTGGACCTGGCAGCAGCAAGTGGAGGCGGTACAGGGGCCCATGGCAGAGTGGCGAAGCGTAAGCAGCTTAAATTGAAGGCCATACAGAGGCCTATGTTAAAAATAATAACATGTTTGGGGCATGATTCATGGCGGATTTAGTCAGTTGTGTCAGGAAGTGGTGGTTTGAAATCCAGACTAATCCACGCCTGATTCATTTTCACAAACGTGAGTCTCTCCACACTTTGGGTGGACAGTCGTGTCCTCCGCGGAGTTACAATACCTCCTGCCGCACTAAACACGCGCTCCGATGCCACGCTACTGGCCGGGCATGACAGCCTTTCAAGGGCAAATTCAGCTAGTTGGGGCCAAAGGTCAAGTTTTGTTGCCCAGTAGTCAAGGGGATTGTCTACCTCGGTGGCAGGGTGCTGTCCAAGTAGGCCCAAGCCTGTTTGTTTGAGGTCCTGCTCCAGGTCCACCTGATGCTGCTGCTGCTGCGGCTGGTTAGTAGTTTCCTCACTGCGCTGGTGAAGAAAGCTACTCATCATCGACTGCAGACTGAGGCAGCCCGCTGCTGGTGGAGCTGCCACTGCTCCTACCACCCCACCCCTCCCCTGCTGCCATGGCAGCGGAACGCGAATGCACAGGGCCCACAGTGTCTGAGGATGGACGTTGGCGCAAAAAGGCAGAGACCAACTGACTACATAGGTGGTTTTTATAGTACGTTATTTTGGCCTCCCTCTCAGCAGGTGTGAAAAAGGCCACCATTTTTGAACAGTAGCGAGGGTCCAACAAGGTGGACAGCCAAAAGTCATCCCTCTGTCTGATGGTTATTATTCGGCTGTCGCTACGCAAGCAACCGAGCATGCTATGGTACATTTGTGCCAAGGAATGCGAGGGACTCCCTGCCTCCATCTCCACAGCATACTGCCATGGTGCGTCTGGGTCCTCTGTCTCCTCCCTCCTCCTCTACCAGATGCTCCTGCTCCTCCACTCCTGTCCGCTGAGTGGAAAAACCACCCATTTCACTCAATAATTCCTGAGCACCAATGTCCTCCTCTACCTCCTCCTCTTCTTCCTGTCCTTCCCCCACAGGGGTCATGTGGCGTTGAGATCTGTGCGCCACGTCTACCGCACCCTGACCAGCCATTGTTAACAGCATTTGTTCCAGGACGTGCAACAGAGGAATGACGTCGTTCATCCCATAGTCCTGCCGACTCACGAATAGCGTGGCCTCCTCAAAGGGCCTGAGCAAGCGGCAGGTGTCATGCATGAGCTGCCAATGGCTGACATCTAAGTTACACAGGGGAGTACCTTTATCCGCTTGTAACATCAGGAAATCGGTGATGGCCTTTCGCTGTTCGTAAAGGCGGTCTAACATATGTAGGGTTGAATTCCACCTTGTTGCAACGTCGCAGATCAGGCGATGCTGTGGAATTCCGTTCTGCCGCTGCAGCTCAAGGAGGGTGTGCTTTGCGGTGTAGAAATGGCTGAAATGCGTGCAAAGTTTACGTGACATTTTAAGGATGTCTTGCAGTGGGATGGTGGATTTTAGGAACCGCTTGACAACCAGATTGAACACGTGAGCCATGCATGGCGCATGGCACAACCTTCCTTGACGCAGAGCAGACACCATGTTCTTTCCGTTGTCGGTCAACATGGTTCCGATTTTCAGTTTGCGCGGAGACAGCCATCTGTCGATTTCTCTGTTCATTACACTCAGAAGTTCCTCCCCTGTGTGACTACGTTTGCCAAGGCATACCAGGTGCAGCACAGCGTGACACCGTTGCGCCCTGCACATGTGATATGCCGGTCGGGTAATGGGACTTGGCACGGGGGTGGCGGCTGAGGACACGGCGGAAGAAGAGGTGGTAGAGGCGGACATCTTTGCTGGACCAAGGACGTGCAAACGTGGAGGCAAAAGCGGCGTGACCTGTCCAAGTTGCTGGTGCGGCTGTGCCGGCACCACGTTCACCCAGTGGGCCGTAAATGACATGTACTGTCCCTGACCGTAGTTACAGCTCCACACATCGGCGCTGCCGTGCACTTTGGCAGAGACCGACATGCTCAAAGACTGGCCCACCATCTCTTCTACATGTGAGCGCAGGGCTGGCACTGCCTTTTTGGCGAAGAAATGCCGGCTTGGCACTCTCCACCGCGGCTCGGCACAAGCCATCATTTCTCGGAAAGGTGCTGAGTCCACCACTTGGAAAGGGAGGGACTGCAGCACCAGCAACTTGGACAGGAGGACGTTCAGCTTCTGCACCGTCGGGTGCGTGCTCGCAAACTGTTGTCTCTTGGAAACGGATTCCAAGAAAGACTGCTGACGGAATCCGTGAAGAGGAGTAGCAGGAGAAGGAGCATCTGAACGAGCGGAAGATGCCAACGAGCGACAACTCCCCTCAGCAGAGGTGTTGGAGCCTTGACTGTCTGATAGAGGGCGATTGACGTCGGGTGACGGAGCAAGTAACGGAGCGGGTGATGGAGCGGGGGCTGGGGCAGGCAGAACCGCCGTATATTTATCACGGTTTTCCCAGGCCACCGAATGGCGATGCTGCATATGCTGACGCAACGCTGTAGTCCCAACATGGCCCCCCTGGCCACGCTTGACTTTCTGGCCACATAGTCGACATACAGCTACGTTTACTTCCTCGGGCGGCTTGACGAAAAATTGCCACACCGCCGAGTAGGAAACTTTGCCCCCGCTACTCCTCACTGGCTGACTGCTACTTCCTCCGTGCACACCGGCACCACTACTGGCCGTGGTGGTAGGCTGCAGTGGAGCTGGTGCTCTACTCCGTGGCCGTTTGCCTCCACTGACACTGCTGCGACCCTGCTGCCTCCTGGGCAACCCACCGACTGTTTTGCTCGCTGCCAAGCTGGCACCCTCTTCTCCTGATGATGCGGAAGCAATAGCCTGATGACGACGAGGCTGCCAAGTGCGATCAGCCTCCTCATCATCAATTAGGGTCTCCGCCTCACTACTAGCCCCCTCGGCTGCGTGTGGGTCAGGAGACAGACCTGTCTCTAGACCGGCTACCGAGCCACTCTCCTCGCCAGTACTTCTTCGCCTGGCTGCTGAAGAGGCGGATGTCTCCCCCCGTTCCTGACCGCCCTCTGTTAGCTCTTCCTCACTGTACAGTGGGGCTGAGCCCACAGCATGCGATACTTCGCTTGGTGAGGGAACACCAAAGGACAGGGGCAGGTAGAGGACACGTGATTTCAGTGGGTTGCTCCCGGGCCATGCCAACTAACGGTTGTGTCTGACGTACCCACCGACCGTTGGCTGTAGGTGTCAGAGGTGACGTGGGAAGAGGAAGACGACCGAGCCAACCAATCGATGACGGCAGGGTTGTCGGTGGAGACACGACCGCTGGATGACACCGGGAGCACTGGCCTCTGGCTGCGACTAGTGCTGCCTCGACCCCTTCCTCTGCTGCCACGTCTGCTCGCTCCTGAAACATTGCCTCCTCTGCCACTCCTCTGCGTGTTGTCTGACATAATCTTTAATTCAACGATTCTGTGTCCCTGAGTAATGATTCTGTGTCCCTGAGTAACAATTCTGTGTCCCTAAGTAACGATTCTGTGTCCCTGAGTAACAATTCTGTGTCCCTGAGTAACAATTCTGTGTCCCTGAGTAACGATTCTGTGTCCCTGAGTAACGATTCTGTGTCCCTGAGTAACGATTCTGTGTCCCTCAGTAACGATTCTGTGTCCCTGAGTAACAATTCTGTGTCCCTCAGTAACGATTCTGTGTCCCTGAGTAACAATTCTGTTTCCCTGAGTAAGAATTCTGTGTCCCTGAGTAACAATTCTGTGTCCCTCAGTAACGATTCTGTGTCCCTGAGTAACGATTCTGTGTCCCTGAGTAACGATTCTGTGTCCCTGAGTAACGATTCTGTGTCCCTGAGTAACAATTCTGTGTCCCTGAGTAGCAATTTTGTGTCTGTCCCTGAGTAACGATTCTGTGTCCCTAAGTAACGATTCTGTGGCCCTAAAGTGTCTGAGGCCCTAACTCTGTCCCTAATACAGAGAGGTCTGTCTCTCTTGAATGACCGGAGGCTAATGGAGAATTCTAAGATGGCCGCGATTTATAGCTCCACCATTACACAGTGCTGGCTGGCTGGCTGCTGATTGGCTAATGCGATCACATGTCATGAATGAATGCATTATGGGTCAGCGCGCCTTGTCTGCGTGCCTTCCCAGAGATCCCCGCTCCTTCGCCACACATGTCGCCGCCATTTTTGGGAAAAATTCGATTCGTGCATCCGAAGTTGGCTAATTT